CTTCCCAGGACAGGGACAGCACGGGGTTAGATACAGAGTAAAGCTCCTTCTACACTGTCCCCCCATCAAACACTCCCCAGGAGAGGGACAGCACGGGGTTAGACACAGAGTAAAGCTCCATTTACATTGCGCCTGCCATTAAGCGAGCTGTAGTTGTGTTCTTTGCAATTTTAAGAAAACATTTGGAATCTCTCCTTGCCGTGCGGAATGCAGGCTGTTTGGAACGGGTTGGGAGGGTGGGGTTTAAGTGAGATAAATAAAAAGCTAAATGCAATGTGATATTACTTTTAAAAGCCAGCAAAGTAACGAACAAGTTACAATCCCAAGGCTCTGGTCGTAGTTTTAATCCAAGGAGTTGGTCCCTCACTGAAACATAAAACCTGAACCCTGCAGCTCAGGGCTGGTCGCGTTTCCCCCTGAAAATGTTTGCATGTGGCAAACGCTGAGTCTTGCTTGCTGTGGGTCTTAGCTTGCTGAGCTGACATCCCTCAGGAACTTGATGTGGTTCTGCCGTGTGAACGTGTGGAATCCATCCTGAACCCCAGAGGGTCGCTCATGCTCTGTCAAAAAAGGTGAACAGCCCCGAAAGGAATTGGTGGAACACTCCGGAAGGTGCTGTGTTCCGCGATAAAACTGAGGCCCTTTGATAGTGACTCCAACTGCGACGCAGCTGCCAACATAATCTTTGCTCCGACCTGATACAACATTGGGCTGGAATCAAAATGCAAACGCTTGCTCAGAACCTTCAGGAGCAGACCTTTATAATCTCTTCCATTTCCTGTTTCCTCTTGGCCCCAAGTGCCAAGTGAATCTCAGTTAACCACTCTCGTGTCTATTTATACTCCTCCATCTTCTGGTTCATATTGGGATAGGGTTACTCAGGAAGCCCGCCCTCCCCGGGGAAAACCGAGGCGGATTCCCAATTCCCCAGGCTCCTTTAGCCACCTCGCTACTTCCCAAAGGGTGACAGCCAATGAAACACTTGCTTTTGTAATGTAGCAAGCGGAGGTAGCCAATCCGCTCACAGTAAATGTCCACCAAATTGTAACCATGTGGGCATCTCTTTTCGATGTTGCTGGTTGAGATTTGCTGGCTGTCCCCAGAGTAAATGACCCCGTTTTGCAATGGTGGCTGGCTTCCCTGAGATCTACCTGCGGGGAGGGGCTTGTTTAATTATCTCATCTTGTAATGGGTCTGAAGAAGGGTCCAGACCCGAAACGTCAGCCTTCCTGCTCCTCTGATGCTGCTTGGCCTGCTGTGTTCATCCAGCTCTACACCTTGTTATCTCAGATTCTCCAGCATCTGCAGTTCCTACTATCTCTCATGTTTATCTGAAGTGCCTTCCCCTGAGCACTCCTGGAATAGAAGATCATTCGAGTGCAGGAAGGGGTCATGGTCAAGATTTTGCACAAGTGTGTATGCACACATGTGGACTCTCATGCTCACACAAATACACATTTGCACACTCTCACACTCAGTCTCACACGCACAAGCACAGACCTCCCTTCACACTAATGCACACACGCATGCTCACTTGCACACATATGCACACGCACTCTCACACTCACATACTTGCACACACACATATTCTCACACACACACACACATGTTCACAAACTCGTACACACAGTCTATGTCACATATTCACACACACACACGCATGCACGCGCGCACATTCACATACTCATACATGCACATACACTCACCCAGGAATACCCACACACACACACACACACACACACACACACATATTATCACACGTACACACGCATGTATTCACACACACAAATTATCACACATTCATACATTCTCACAAACTTGCGCACAAGGTATCATTCACACACACACACAGACACACATAACTCACAGACTTATACACTCATACAAACTTGCACACACAGTCTCTTTCACACACACACACAGACCCAGAAACAGACACACACACATTATCACACATACACAATGCACATATTCATACACACAAATTATCACACACTCATGCACTCTCACAAACTTGCACACATGGTCTCTTTCACACATTTTCACACACACACACACATCCCCAGAAATACATGTGCATGTGCGCGCGCGCGTGCGCACACACACAGACACACAACTCAGACTCATACACTCAAACAAACCTGTACACAGTCTCTTTCACACATTCACACTCACACACACAGAACTCACAGACTCATACACTCATACAAACTTGCACACAGTCTCGTTCACACATTCACACATTCACACACACACTCACATACACTCACCCAGAAATACACACACACACTCACCCAGAAATACACACACACACTCACTCAGAAATATGCACACACACACATAACTCACAGACTCATACACTCAAACAAACTTGCACACAGTCTCTTTCACACATGCACACACACACACACACACTCACCCAGAAATACACACACACACTCACCCAGAAATATGCATACACATGCACACATAACTCACAGACTCATGCACTCATACAAACTCGCACACACACAGTCTCTTTCACACATTCACACTTGCACACTCACACACACAAACACTCACCCAGAAATACACACACACACTCACCCAGAAATATGCACACATACACACACATAACTCACAGTCTCATACACTCATACAAACTTACACACACAGTCTCTTTCACACATTCACACACGCACACTCACACACACACACACACACACACACTCACCTGGAAAAACGCACACACACTCACCTATACTCTCACACCTACCGCCCGGATCACTTGAAGCAGGACACAGTACTGGGAGGATGTTCCTCTGCTGTAAACACGAAGCTTAAATGAGCCCAGCATTTATATGCCTGAGGAATGTGAGCTCTGAGCACAGTAGTTCGATGTAATAAATGTTTGTCGGACTTTTCACTACCATGTGGCCTATGGCAAGTTTCTTATGTTATGGGAGATGACATCAGCATTGCCACATCAGATAAAACACCCCGTTGTAGGGAAGCCTCACACCAGGCCATGTGGCCAAATTTGAGGACGTAAGCTGGTGTACCCTTCATCAGCTGGCCTGGCCAATATGAACTTTTAATTCTTTATGTGTGTGCGTCATTACAAATCCCCAAGATACCACCCGAAAATTCGTCATCAGAGTCATCAATGGTTCTTTCAGTCACTGTCAAGGTACCTACAAAATGCCAAATAATGTTTCACAACTTGGCTTATTTTATTTGGCTCAAATTATTGTATTTATTGAATCCAGATGGCCTCAACACAGAAGGTTTAGAAATTTACAGCTGCGTCAGAAATGTTGTTAAATCATTTTGTTGCCACTTTTCGACCACATGTGTATCTAGTAGAACTCGCTGCCCTCCCAAAATACAACTTCTTTCATGATTGGCCATCTGGAATGTGGTCGGGTCCTGTTGTTGGCTACCAGGAATTGGAAACACAAATCTTTTGATCTGATGACAAAACGATGTGGAAGTAACAGCCTCCGGTTTTCAAAATAATAGGTACAGAAGGCTTGAGCTCATCTCTCGGCCTGGGGAGTGAGGGTGAAAGGAAGGAACGTCTGGGTGTATTAGAAAAGAAAACGGCCGACAAAAGTCTCTGTTGGACACAGTCTACCTCAACCTCATGACAGCGAGAGAGTTTGGAAGTTTGCAACTACTATCCAGACAAAGCCTTGCTTGTTCAGGATTAGAACTCGGTCAATTTGTATCAATTCCACCTCACGGTTTCTCTTAAGAGGGCAATCTGCAAATGGATCCACTTGTGACATAGTGTGACCATGTTATTGGAGGGTCTTGAAGCTCAGAGAGAGCTCAATGGGCAAACCTTGGACATTTATTACGTGGGAAGGCTTCGGCCTAGTGGTATTATTGCTGGCCTGGTAATTCAGAGATCCAGATAATGTTTTGAGGGCCGGGGTTCACGGCAGATGGCGGAATTTAATTTAAAATAATCTGGAATTAAGGGTCTAGTGATGACCATGAATCCACTGTTGGTACAAACCCGTCTAGTTCACTAACTCCCTTTAGGGAAGGCCATCCTTATCTGCTCTTGCCTGATATTTCACTAAACTACAGGAGATAGAAGCCATGCCCATCCAGCACTTCCTCAACAGATACCCCAACCCATTCTGTTCCAGGTATTAGCAAGCCTTCTCTGAACTGTCTCCAACATATTTATATCTTCCCTTCAATACGGGGACCAATACTGTACACTGTATTCTGGATGTCGTCTTCCTATGTAACTGAAGCATCGCCTCTCTACGTCTGTATTCAACTCAGGAAAGGAGAGTTGGAGATGTGTTATTGGAGGTGGCCGGTTTCAGTGGATGAGAATGCACAATGTAGCTTAGGGAAGCTTATAGACCCATACAGCACAGAAACAGGCCCTTTGGAGGAAGGGTCACCAGACCCGAAACGTTAACTCTGAGTTTTTCTTCACAGATGCTGCCAGACCTGCTGAGCTTTTCCAGCAACTTCTGTTTTCGTACCTTTGGTCCAACTCGTCCATGCCGGCCGTGTTTCCTAAACTGTGTTAGTCCCATTTGCCAGCATTTGGCCCATATCCCTCTAAACCCTTCCTATTCATATACCTATCCAGATGCCTTTTAAATGTTGTAATTGTACCAGCCTCCACCACTTCCTCTGGCAGCTCATTCCATACATGCATCACCATCTGTGTGAAAAAGTTGTTCTTCAGGTCCCTTTCAACCATTACCTTATTCTTTATTTCCTACTATTTTATGAAGCAATGCTTAACTTTTTGATTCTGTTCCTCTTGCTACTTTGTACCTAAGTTTTTGGTACCTTGGTAACTAAGATGGCACCTTGTGTAACGACATTATACACTTTTCATTGCGCACCTGTATTTCTGTATTTAAGTATACGTGACAATTAAATCTATATCTTTCCCCTCTCACCTTAAACCTATGCTCCTCTAGTTTTGGACTCCCCTAACCTGGGAAAAAGACCTTGGCTATTCACCCTATCCATGCCCCTCATGATTTTATAAACCTCTACAAGGTCACCCCTCAGCCTCTGACACTCCAGGTAAAAAAGTCCTAGCCTATCCATCCTCTCCTCAAACCTTTCAGTCTCGGTAACGTCGTTGTAAATCTTTCTGCACCCCTTCAAGTTTCACAACATCTTTCCTACAGCAGGGAGACCAGAACTGAACGCAGTATTCCGAAAGTGGTCTAACCAAAGTCCTGTACAGCTGCAACATGACCCTCCCAACTCCTATACTCAATGCATTGACCAATAAAGGCAAGTGTAGCAAACACCTTCTTCACTGCCCTGAGACTCCACTTTCAAGGAACTATGAACCCTCACCCCAAGGTCTCTTTGTTCAGCAACACTCCCCAGGTCCTTACCATTAAGTGTGTAAGTCCTGCCTTGATATGCCTTTCCAAAATGCAACATCTCACGTTTATCTAAATTAAACTCCACTCTGCCACTCCTCAGCCCATCCAAAGCCCTTTAGGGAGGGAGATCTACCACCTTTACCTGTTCTGGCCTACCTGAGACTCCAGACCCACGGTGATATGGTTGACTCTCTAATGACTCTAATGGCCAACAGCGTGGGCTCATTTCCTCCTCCCAACTGAGGTGACACTTAAGTTCAGCTTCACCAATAACTACCCCCAATGTATTTACTTTGATTATACGCCTTGGAGATTATTCTAAACTTTTGCCATTTTGAGTTGAAAAACAAATAACGCCCTTTTAAAGTTTAGGTTTTAGTTTTATTTAGGTTTGCGAAGGAACAGTGGACTGTTTGCAGATGACACAAAGGTGGGTCAAGGGGACAGGTAGTGTTGAGGATGTGGGGAGGCTGCAGAAGGATTTGGACAGGTTAGGATAGTAGGCAAAGAAGTGGCAGATGGAGTACAACGTGGGAAAGTGTGAGGCCACGCACTTTGATAGGAAGGCTAGAGGCATGGACTATTTTCTGAACGGGGAAAGGCTTTGGAAATCCGAAGCACAAAGGCACTTGGCAGTCCTGTTCAAGATTCTCTGAAGCATAAAGAACACTAATCCATGCTGTATTCTGCACGGTGAGGTTAATAGTGTAGATTGGAAATTATCTCCACGTTGTAGATGTCAAGTCAGAAAACAATGGTTTCCTTTGGGAAAACAAGGTGTGGAGCTGGATGAACACAGCAGGCCAAACAGCATCAGAGGAGCTGACGTTTCCGGTCTGGACCCTTCTTCAGAAAAGGCCTGGTTTTGGGTCTGTAATAGAACATAGAACGTAGTACAGAACAGTACAGTCCCTTCGGCCCACGATGTTGTGCCGACCTATTATCCTACTAAGATCAATCTACCCTGCATACCCTACATTTTACTGTCCCCTATGTGCCTATCCAAGAGTCGGTTAAGAGTCTCTAAATTATCTGACTCCACTACCACTGCTGGCAGAGTATTCCACACGCCTACCACACTCTGTGTGAAGAACCTACCTCTGACATCTCCCCTATACCTTCCTCCAATCGCCTTAAAATTATGCCCCCTCATAATAGTCATTTCTGCCCTGGGAAAAAGTCTCTGACTATCCACTCTATCTATGCCTCTCCTCATCTTGTACACCTCTGTCGAGTCACCTCTCATCCTTCCTTGCTCCAACGAAAAAAGCCCTAGCTCCCTCGACCTTTCCTCATAAGACCTACCCTCCAGTCCACACAGCATCCTGGTAAATCTCCTCTGCACCCTCTCTAAAGCTTCCACATCTTTCTATAATGAGGTGACCAGAACAGAACACAATATTCCAAGTGTGGTCTAACCAGAGTAGCCCCCCTTGATTAGCATCACATCCATAATGAGAGGGTATATCCAGTGTGAGGTGTGACTGATTAGTCTATCACACTGGCACCCCTCCCCACCCACAAGACAAGTTCTGATAATGATACAGAGTCTTTGATCTTGATTCAGAAATATAGCAGGCCATTCAGCCCTTCGAACTTTCTTTGCTAGTCATCGTGATTGTGGCTGATCCTCTGTGACAATGGCATTTTCCCACTTTCTCTCCACATCCCTGATGCCTTTTTGGCAAAACGTTTGTCAATCTCGCTCCTGACCTGGGCCTCCGCGGTTTTTTCTTTGGCAGCAAACTCCTCCAGGTTGTCCACTCCACCGTGTGAAGAAATTGTTCCTAATCTCAGTCCGATTTGGCCTACTTCATATCCAGAGGCTGCAACTCCCCCGCCCCTGCCCCAATCATTCTGGACTCCCCAACAATTTCAAGATGGCGGCACCGGCACGGTAGGTAGTTTTCGGGCTCCTGAGCCTGTTCGCTCCATGCCGGCCATGTCCATTTCCCTCTCTCCTTCTCAACTGTTTTCTTCATCTTCCTGATGTTGCAGGGTGCCGGAGCGGTGGCTGTGCCCAGAGTGGGGACTCCTGGCTGAGGTAGGCCCTGAGCGGGGACTCCTGGCTGAGGTAGGCCCTGAGCGGGGACTCCTGGCTGAGGTAGGCCCAGAGTGGAGACTCCTGGCTGAGGTAGGCCTGGGGCAGGGACTCCTGGCTGAGGTAGGCCCGGAGCGGGGACTCCTGGCTGCGGTAGGCCCGGGGAGGGGACTCCTGGCTGAGGTAGGCCCGGAGCAGGGAATCTTGGCAGAACCGGTGTCTCCTGGGGCATCAGCCTCATTGTTGCTATACCCAAAACAGGGACTGTTGTAGGAAGAATATTATTAAACTGAAGAGGGTTCAGAAAAGATTTACCAGGTTGTTGCCAGGAATGGAGGGTTTGCGTTAGGAGGAGAGGCTGGGACTTTTTTCACTGGATCATAGGAGTTTGAGAGGTGACCTTATAGAGGTTTATAAAATCATGAGGGGTATAGATAAAGTGAATAGCAGGTGTCTTTTCTGTAGAATGGTGGATTTGAAGACTGGAGGACAAAGATTTGAAAAAGACGTGAGGGGCAATTTTTTTTTACACGAAGAGTGGTTTGTGTGTGGAATGAGCTTCCAGAGGAAGGGGTGGATGTGGGTACGGTTACAACGTTTAAAAGACATTTGGATAAGCACATGAATAGGAAATGTTTGCAGGGCTATGGGCCAGAAGCAGGCAGTTGGGACTAGTTTAGTTTGGGATTATGTTCGGCACGGACTGGTTGGGCCGAAAGTTCTGTGTCCATGCAGTGTGACTCCATGACTCCTCTTGGCCCACCTGCAAAGGCCCTGGAGCCGTGTTCAGGAATCCAGCCGCTGAAGATTATCTCTGTTTAAGTACTTTTTATCCTTCTTGTCATTCAAAACGGCGACCCAACATTTTTCACTGTATCCTCCTCGATATATTTGACAATAAAAATCATTCATCATTCATTCAACCAGGGGAAACATCCTGCTTGCATCCAATCCGTCTGGCCCTGCTAGAAATTGGTACGTTTTAATCAGATCTCATCCTTCGTAAACTTGAGTGAATCCAGGCCTAACTGATCTCCTCCCTCACCATTCTGCTTCGTGGCCCTGAGAGGTTGATGGGTTTGACTTAGCTTTTTGTTTTTTTGAGTTCTTCATCTCAAAGGCACTGTTTCTGAGGCACAGATTTTGCTCCTTGTCCCCCCTGCCATTAAATTATTGATTTTAATCTGCGCCACAAACAACTTTAAGTGCTCTCCCTGTTTTTCGGTTGCCCTCGTTTCCTGTCAATTAAGTACTTCCTCGCAGTGAAAGTGCTTAATAATACACGCAAAAAAAAACTTGGCCTGTGTTTTACCCGAAAGCCTGACCTTTGACATCGTCTGGATCAGTGAGCGCTTTTGTGGGCGACTGAAAGGAATCTTGGTAGGCCTCTTTTTTTAACAGCTGACTTCTGTGATGGGAAAGTGGCTTTGTTTCGGTGGAAGTCTTTCTGCAGCAGAGGTCTAATTAGCCCCTGGTCTCCGAGGAACCTTCCGGAGTCTCTGAAAGAGCACTTTTCAGGATGTAATGATTTCCTAATTTCCCCCCATTCCCCTTTCTCTTGGAGGACTCGTTAGCCTGCGACAACATGGCTGACCTGTTGCAAACGCTGCTTTATTAGAGCTATGAACCGACCAGATTTCTGGGACGGCCAGCTCTGAGGTTTCTCAAAATGAAAACAGATGCCAATTAAGAGCTGTTTTTATTTAACAAACAAAACCTCCCCTCATTCCTTCCTTGGCCTACCTCCGCCTCTGTAACACAAGCCTCACTCTTAACCTACCTCGGCTCATCTGTTGTTGAAACACCCATGCATGTCTTTGTCACTTCTAGATTGAACTATTCTGGTAATCTTTAGCTTTCACCTTACATTAATTTGGCCTAATCCCAAACTCTGCTGCTTTCTCATTAATCCACAACACATCCGTTCGCCCATGACCTCTTACCCTTGCTTTTTTTCACACAAAAACAAAGACAAGGCTTATACAATTAAAAGTAGGGCCTTGGGCAGTGGTGTAGAACAGAGAGACTCTGGGGGTTCAGGTACATAATTCTTTGAAGTTGGCGTCACAGGTAGACAGGGCGGTTAAGAAGGCGTTTAGCACGCTTGCCTTCATTGTTTAGACCTTTGAGTATAGGAGCTGGGACGTTATGGTGAGGTTGTACAGGACGTTGGTGAGGCCTGTTCTGAGTACTGTGTGCAGTTCTGCTCGCCCTGTTGTAGGAAGGATATTATTAAGCTGGAGAGGGTTCAGAACAGATTTACCAGGATGTTGCTGGGAATGGAGGGTTTGAGTTATAAGCGGAGGCTGGATAGACTGGGACCTATCTCACTGGAGCGTAGTGAGTTGAGAGGTGACATTATAGAGGTTTATAAGATCATAAGGGGTATGGATAAGGTGAATGGCAGGTCTCTTTTCCCTAGAGTGGGGGATTTTAAGACTAGGGAGCATATTTTTAAGGTGAGAGGAGAACGATTTAACTGAGACATGAGGGGCAATGTTTTTACACAGCGAGTGGTTCGTGTGTGGAATGAACTTCCAGAGGAAGTGGTGGATGTGGGTACAGTTACAACACTTAAAAGACATTTGGATAAGTACATGAATAGGGAAAGATTTGGAGGGATATGGACCAGGAGCAGGCAGGTGGGGCTAGTTTAATTTTGGGATTATGGTCAGCACGGACTGGTTGGACCGAAGTTTTCCATGCTGTATGACTCTATGACTCATCCTGCTCTGACAGCACCTTTGTTTTAAAGACCTACCCACTTCCAAGGATAAGCAACGGCCTAGGGGTATTATCGCTGGACTATTAATGCGGAGACGAAAACAGAAATTGCTTGAGGAAACACAACAGGTCTGGCAGCGTCAGTGGAAGGAACGCAGTCAACATTTTGAGTCCAGAAGAAGGGTCGGCGGACACCAAATGCTAACTCTGCTTTCTCTCTCCACAGATACTGCCAGACCTGCTGAGTTTCTCCAGCACTTTCTGTTTTTGCTTCAGATTCCCAGTGTCTGTAGTTCTTCATTTTAGGTTAATGGAGAGACCCAGATAAATGTAAACCGAAAGAACTGCAGATGCAGTTGAATGGTAAGTGTGGTGGGGCCCAGGTTCGAATCCCGCTAAGGCAGATGGTAGAATTCGAATTTGATAAAAATCTGGAATTAAGAGTCTAATGATGACCATGAAACCACTGGCAATTGTTGGGAAAACCCATCTGGTTCACTAATGTCCTTTCGAGAAGGAAACTGCCATCCTTACCTGGTCTGGGCCTACATGTGACTCCAGACCCACAGCAATGTGGTTGGCACTTATCTGCCCTCTGGGCAAATGGGGATGGGGCAATAATTGTTGGCCTGGTTCATGACACCAACATCCCTTGCATGGGTTTGACAAAAAGAAGCAAGTGATCCTTTCAAGGTTCCTAAGGGGTTCTTCCTCTTAGAAGGGATATTAATTCAGAGCGAAGGTGAAGGGACATTGCTCTTGAGATGACTGACTGTTGATAGGCTGCCTGCAACTCCCATGGTGCACTGCAGCACCAGGCCCAGGCGCCTCCAACAGCACGTTCTAAACCTGTGACCTCTAACCCCTAGAGCAGGCTGCCTGAAGGCCTCGGCTGTCCCAGGGATAGGTACGGGATCCTACGTGACCCCTAAGACTTTGGTCCAAATGCCAAATGCATCTGGGACACCTTTGATGCTTCTCCTTTCAGAAGACGATTCACTAGCGAGCCTCAGGATGGATTTTAAAAAATGTGCTTAAGCGCTACTTTGGGGTGGCACGGTGGCTCAGTGGTTAGCGCTGCTGCCTCATGGTGCCAGGGACCTGGGTTCGATTCTGCCCTCGGGCTTTCTCTGGTTTCCTTCCACAGTCCAAAGACATGCAAGTTAGTGTGGTTTGGGCCGTGCTAAATTGCCCCATAGTGTGCAGGCGAGGTGGGTTAGCCATGGGTAATGCAGGGATAGGGAAAATAAGTCTGTGTGAAATGTTCTTTGGTGTGGGCACTGTAGGGGATTCCCTTTAAGAGGTGGGAAAGAGCAGGCAGCACAGAAACCATTCCCACAGAGACAGGAGGAGAAGCCTGTTCAAGGGAGTCGTGAACATCTTTGGTGGGGGGTGGGGGGGTGCCATTCAAGATGGAGTTGGCAGCCGTTTTGAAAATCAAGATGGAGTTTTCAGCCATTTTGAAAATGAAAGAATGGACGATGCGATGGGAGAGAAGGCAGAAGATTGGCTTTCAGGGAGCCGGTACTGACATGACGGGCTGAACGATCTCCTCCTGCCCCCCGCCACCGACCGTCTTGTGGCGCTGGCGTTCAGTCATCGTGGCGAGGGCGAAATCGGGAACCCGCCCTGCCCTGACAGAGCATCACAAGGGGAAATGTAAGATCGAGATACAACAGGCTGCAAACACTGATGCCCCCACCCCCCACCATCCAGAGAATAAAGGAATGGAAAACGAGAAACGTTTCCTCCCACATTCTCAGACTCAAATAACTTGAAAAAGTGCAGATCAACTTGTTCTTGGATCAGGATCAGAGGCATCAGGGTTGGATTCGGATCAGGAGCGCAGATTGAAGACGTTGAACAAAGAGTGATCTGGTTCATTGGAATCCTTCCTTGGATTACATCTCTGACTGGAGAAGCTCTTGTTACAAATGTTTTCCAATTACCACAAACGTTCTGGATTCAGACCACGAGTGGCCACAACTGCTTAAAACTAGCAGCAGCTTGTACTGGGGGAACAGGACTGCAACCTGACTGTGCAGTTTACTAAAGGCTGCCACACAAGGAGGTCTGAGCTCAGTCTAAAATGCTAACCGTTTCGTGGGCCAGGTATCAGACACTCCCTGGGCATAGACAGTACGGGGTTAGACACAGAGTAAAGCTTCCTCCACACTGTTCCCATGAAACACCACCAGGACAGGGACAGCACAGGGTTAGACACAGACTAAAGCTCCCTCTACACTGTCCCCCATCAAACACTCCCAGGACAGGGACAGCACAGGGTTAGA